CAGACAAATAATCTCTGATTAACTGCTTATACCTCTAGATTTTGTTACCTGGAAACAATACCCAGTTAGTTCTGAGTCTCGTTAACAATTTCTTCTATATCTATAGCTAAGCCAAAATATATCCTAATAAATTGAAACTTAGAATTCTTGTAGTTGAATATTCATCTTTGTTATCCTGAAAGCACAAATAGCCGGAGTATTTTATTTTATTCTGTTGTATAATGAAGATAATGTAATCTTGTATTATTTTGAGTATATTTTAACAATTCATAATTTCTTAACTAATTTGTATAATGTTACAATTAATTAGAGAAACTTGGTTTACTACATTCTGATTCTCTTTTTATTCTTGTTTCTTTTTATGCTCTTTGCCCAATTCAGCCATTACCACATTCATAATTCATCTCTTTGCAACTTCCATGGCCACTACCTAGTCTAGCTCCTAAGTCCTAAAAGATAGAGCCCCCTTTTTTGCCAGTTCGGTATGTAACTACCAGAAGAATTGGTTTTACTTTTTATAGCCTACTGCTTAGAAATCTATAGTTATAATATGCTGATGTGAAGCTTTACAGAAATTTTCTGATATCTAATCTCATCTTTCAGTCTTTTATTAACTTTGATTGACTGTATAGTTGTTTTTTTTTTTCCAGAGTCCATTGCTACTTTTTTTTGTTTGGTTGGTTTTTTTTGGATACAGAGCTTCACTTTGTCATCCCTTGTTGAATGCCCTGGCATCATAGCTCACAGCAACCTCAACCTTAAACAACCTCAAAACTCTATAGGTACCTGCCTGGACACCTGGCTAGCTTTTCTATTTTTAGCAGAGACAAGTCTTGCTCTTACTCAGGCTGGTCTCGAACTCCGGAGCTCAAGCAGTCCATCCTCCTCGGCCTTCCAGAGTGCCAGGATTACATGTGTGAGCCTCTGTGCCCAGCCCATTGCTACTTTTAAAACCAGAATACCCTTCCTTGGCACACATATACACACACACCCCTTAGCAACTTTTTCCACATTAATCTTACTTGATACTACCCCTGTTTATTTTGCATTTCCTAAGCAGTACTTTACAACATTCTGTTTACTTTATTCACGTGTTGAGTTGAAAGTTCTTTCTAATGCTTGTTATCAAATAATTGTTTTACCAGTTGTTCTATAAGGTCCTTTCTTTTATTTTTTTGTGCTGCGTACTTAATTTTTGTTGCTAACCATGTCATGAGCCACGGATTTTAGAGCCAAGAAGGATCAGCAAAAGAATTACAGTACAGTAGAAGGATGGTAGTTCACCTACTCTTCCCTAGTTCTTTTTTCTTCTCATTTTCGCTGCCATTAACCTTCACAAATTCTTGTCTTTTTTCTTGCCTAACCAGCTTCCTTTGAACCAAGGAGAAATCTTTTTTTTTTCCCCTACTTGTCCCTTTGAATACATAGCAGGTTGCATTGAGGAACTAAATTACTACTATTTCTGGGTTTGTCTTTTACCCGGATCATGAAAATATGTTCATTAAAGAAGGCTGACATGGGCAGCCATAGCTCAGTGGTTAAGGCGCCGGCCACATACACCCAGGCTGGTTTGAACCCAGCCTGGGCCAGCTAAACAGCAATGACAACTGCAACAAAAACAACAAAAAATACTGGGGATTGTGGCAGACACCTACAGTTCCAGCTACTTAGGAGGAGGCTGAGGCAAGAGACTCGCTTAAGCCCAAGAGTTTGAGGTTGCTGTAAGCTGTGACGCCATGGCACTCTACGGAGGGTGACATAGAGAACCTCTATCTCTGCCTCCCGCCTCCCCAAAAAGGTTGACACAAAATTTCAGTAGAGATTGTATTCATGAGGGAACTTACAGGTAATTGACCACCATGGAGTTTGATGCACTTCCTGGAATTTTTGGAAGGCAAATAGAGTAACAGGGTTCTAGACCTATAAAGCATCTCCAAAGAAAGGCAAATGTTGGGAGCCTCTATTTGGTAATGTCATTAAGTTCTGGACTATTTTTAGGACAAGTTAGCAAGCTGACTACATGTACATCCAAATATAGAAGTGGACAGATGGGCTCGGCGCCTATAGCTCAACCGGCTAAGGCGCCAGCCACGTACACCTAAGGTGGCGGGTTCGAATCCCCAGCCCGGACCCGCCAAAACAACAATGACGGCTGCAACCAAAAAATAGCCGGGTGTTGTGGCGGGCGCCTGTGGTCCCAGCTACTTGGGAGGCGGAGGCAGGAGACTCGCTTGAGCCCAGGAGTTGGAGGTTGCTGTGAGCTGTAATGCCATGGCACTCTACCCAGGGGGACAGCTTGAGGCTCTGTCTCAAAAAAAAAAAAAAAAAAAAAAGAAGTGGACAGATGCATATTCCTATCATTTTGTTTTTGACCAAGGGAATGTTTCCTAACCACTCCAAGCTTAATTTTTATCTGCAGCCACAGGCATGATAACCTATCTAACTTGTGGGGATGTTGTGATACTCAGTTTAATAATATATATCAAGATGCCTAATGTGCTACCTAGTATGAAGCCAGTGTTTCCTTTAAATATATAGATTTACATTTGAATTAATATGAGTTATAAAAATTGCTAAGTTGTTTATCTTAACACTGAATTTAGGAATTCATTGTTTTTCATCTGACTTTTCTTTTCCTGTCTCCCTGCTTACCATTTTCCCACAAAAAGAACTTAATTTAAAAGGAGACTTTTTTACTTATTAAATGAGAAATATATAATTTTGACGGAAAAATATCTTGTAATAAGTATATATAGTATTATTGCCATTACTTCATTGTTTATGATTAAATTGTTTTAAATAGAACTTGTACAATTTTTATATTCTTAATTCTGTCTGGTAAGTAAAATATAGTTAACATTTGAATTTGAAAGCAGTTAAATTGTAATAAAATTTGATGCTTGTATTTGTACTAAAGAAAAATTGAGGAAGAAATGGTGATTTGTAACTAATATTTTAGTAAAAGTTTGTTACCTAGAAAACTTAGTGTCATTCACATAGAAAATGGATTTCATTTTCCTTCACTTTTTTTTAATGAACTGTTAAACAGAATACATACTGTTTCAATAAAAATTTCTGTAAATTTTTATTTCTTCCACAAGGGGGCCTTCTTAGAAAAGCTTTTTCTTGTTTAATGTCAAAGCATTTCTGTATAGTTTCCATGACAGCCAAACTTTCTCAAAAATAATTTCAGAGAAAAGACAATACTTATTAATTTTTTTTCTAGAGTATATACTGCAAAGTAATGTTTTCTGACATGTTAGAGGGGGATTATTTTCTAAAATTTTCCTCTTACTCCTCTTATGTCTTAAACAGATGTAGTATTTTCTATTCTCTATTAACTGTTAAAGGCTAGACTAGAAGCAGAAATGTAAATAGAGCTACTGAAAGTAGCCTAACTCTACAGCGTTGTTTTAGATAATTGTATATTCCCTCCTCCCACATCCCCACAAAGAAGCTTAGTAGGAATCACAGTGCTGTGTTCTGAGGTAGTCACAAATGTGTATATATAAAAAGAACATTTTCTCAGATAAAGATTTTATTAGGCATGTGCCCCCAAACAAAATTTATTTTTTTTTTTGAGACAGAGTTTTTATAACAATGCATGGCTGCAGAAGATTATCACTAGATTAGATGACACATGGAAGTTGCAATTTGGCCCTTGTCCACTTTGCCAACTATAATCTTTTACATCCTTAAGGATTTCTCTCCTCCAACCACATTAGATGCTTATTCCTTAAATAAGTGAGTCTTTCAGGCTTCTTGCCTTTCCATTCATACTCACCTGTCCTTGGAATGTCTTCTGCTGCTGTCTAAAGAAACAGCAGCAGAAAAGTAATTTCTTACTTATGCTTTAAGACTATTCACTTGTCACAGCTTCTATGACCACTTTGACCTTCCTGCATCCCCCTTCTGCACACACATACTCTGCTCCCACTGAGACACATCATGCTATAAGGAAAAGTGCATGGATCTGAATTGTGATAGCCTCTACTGTAAATGTGTGAGCTTAAATAGTCCTTAGTCTTCTTTTTAGGTGCTAAGTAGGGATAATATTACTGTACAGTGTTATGAGAAATAAGGAGAATAATGTGTGTGAAGCACCTAGCCAATAGCCTAGTATGTAAGCATCTAATAAATAATATCTTTTTCTATTATGATAATGACCTTTTGTATTTTTTTCCTTATTTGCCTTCCTGTGGTCAATATAAAATGTAATACTGGCATTTAATAGCCTCTCAGCAATTATTTGATAAAGGTATGAATAGCTGCATAAATAAACAATAACTACATAAAAGGCACTTAGAAAACTATCAAACAAAATTGAAAGGTTCTACCTACATTTGAGTACTGAGTTTTCTGATACGAAACCTATGTACCGTATATTTCAGATTTCATTATAGTGTAGTACAGTATAGCTAAGTGTTAAACTTTCAGAAAAAGGTGGTTAAAGTTTTAGAGCTCTTAATGAATTAAAGAAATGTCAAGTTATTAAGGTTCTAATGTATCTTAAAGTTCAAATTTAACCTTTACGGTAAACATTATGGGCTCGGCCCCTATAACTCAGTGGCTAGGGCGCCAGCTACATACACTGGGGCTGGCAGGTTCGAACCTAGCCAGGGCTTACCGAACAACAACAATAACAACAAAAAATAGCCAGGCGTGGTGGGTGCCTGTAGTCTGAGCTACTTGGGAGGCCGATGCAAGAGAATCGCTGAAACCCAAGAGTTTGAGGTTGCCGTGAGCTGTGATGTCATAGTACTCTACCTAGGGCGACATAATGAGACTTTGTCTCCAAAAAAAACCACAAAAACCTCTGTCTCAAAAAATAAAAATATATAAAATTATTTTTAAAACAATAAAAGTTATTTGAAATGTGGTTTTAGATAATTTGGTTATCATAATCAAAATTCCTTAATTTATTGTTACAACATGATTTAATAAAACAGCTCTCTGATTTAACAGTAACATTCACATTTTCAAAATTTTGCTTATACTAGCAACATTTCATTGAGTTGGATGAAAATAGACAAAGATTATTGCAGAAATGCAAGGAACTCATGAAGAGAGCGAGGCAAGTATGTAACCTGGGTGCAGAGCAGACTGTTCCTCAAGAATATCAGACAGTAAGTATAAAAAGTATATAATTTATAGTTGTCATATCTAACATGTTATTTTTAAGCTTATAGGATCTTAGGCATTATAATAAACCATGAAAAATGTGATAAGTCATAAAAATGTGGAATTATTTTCCCATTTTTAAACTGAATACATGGGCGGCTCCTATGGCTCAGTGAGTAGGGCGCCAGCCCCATATACCAAGGGTACAGGTTCAAACCCGGCCCCGGGCCAGACCGCAACAACAACAGCAAAAAAAATAGCCGGGCATAGTGGTGGGTGCCTGTAGTCCCAGCTACTTGGGAAGCTAAGGTAAGAGAATCACCTAAGCCCAAGAGCTGGAGTTTGCTGTGAGCTGCACTTTACTGAGGGCGACAGCACTCTACCGAGGGTGACAAAGTAAGACTCTGTCTCTGGGGGGAAAAAAACAACTGAATACATATAAAAAATAAAAAATAATTTTGCTTGACAGATTTTCTCTACTGTATTGAAATTTAGCCACTAGTGTTTTTGGCTAGTGCAAAAATTCTTGAAACATAAATATCACCATGCAAAATTATTGATAGTGTAACAATTGTTCTTCCAATAAAAGGGAACCTTTTCCCCCTGAAACTACCTTTAAAGGGTGTCAGTTGGAAATATAGAGTACAGTTTTTCATAAGAACATTATACCAGTAACTAATACATAAGAAACAGTTAAAAGGGGGTAAAAAGGCAAAATGGAAATGTTTTCCTAGAAATCGGGATGTTTGTTTAGAGCTACCATCTGCCAGTAAGGGAAGGGCAAAAGAACCTTTCCTTATATCCATTGTATTCATATACTAACATAGTGGTTAGTTCAATAGGAGATGCTGTCCTTTATTCTACATTTCACCATCAATTATGAACCCCTGGAACTCCTAGGCTTTATCTGATAAGTGGGGGTGATACCTTGTCTATATATGTACCTATTCAGAGTAATCCCAAAATTAAATTAGAAAATGAATTTTTATATATATATCTCTTTTTTGATTCTTAATTTTAAATGTTACATATTTCAGTAGATAATGAAACGTCTACTAAAGAAAAAACAAAATCGCATGATTTATTTTTGATAACTGTTCTTAAAACAAAATTAGAAAATAATATGTTCATTAAAAATATTGATTACCTGTGACATATTAATTGCACAAGGCAGACATACTTCATTCTCTTCTAAAACTTACATTCTAGTCTGTAGGATGGGGCAGACAAAAACACAATGAAGAAAATAGATAATATCAAATACTAAGAGATGCTAAGAAGAAAAATAAAACAAGGTAAAGGAGTAGAGTGACGTAGATAGAATTGGTCAGGAAAGTTTTTTGGAAAGATACTACTTTAGATAAGTCCTAAGTGAAGAAATGAAATCTGCCAAGGGAAGATACAGGGGAGAAAAGTATTCCAGACAGTATTTGAGCTGTTTACAAATAAACATGAATAAAAAAATACATCTCAGCAGGATTAAAAATTATTGTATAATCTAAACAGAGAGGAAGGCAAAAGCCAAAATTATGTAGTCCTTAAAGACTGTACAAAGAATTTGGGTTATATTCTGAGGTGGAATCCACTGGAGGATTTAACAGAAGAGTGGCACTACTAACTTGAGTTTATAAACAAGCACTCTAACTTCTATGTGGAGAATAAAGGAAGGACACAAGGATGAAAGTAAGGAGACCAGTTAGGTGATTGCTTGAACTAGGTGAGAGATTATAGTGGCCTAGATTAGGTCTGAAGAGAGAGGGAGGGAGAAGTTGATGGCACCAGCAGGACTTGTTGGAGGATTTGATGTACAGGGTAAGAGAGAGAACACATAAGATTGTCAACTGAACAAATGGCAATGCCATTTACTTTAGAATTCAGCAGTTCTCAACCTTATGGGTCGCGACCCCTTTGTAACAATGAAAATACATCCTGCATATCAGATATTTACATTACTATTCATAACAGTGGCAAAATTACAGTTATGAAGTAGCAACAAAAATAATTTTATGGTTGGGGGTCACCACAACATGAGGAGCTATAAAAGGGTCATGGCATTAGGAAGGTTGAGAACCACTGCTTTAGATGGAAAAGACTGGAAGAGAAACAGGTTTGCATAAAGTAGGGGGAAAGTAGGTGAAACAAAGATTCGGTTTCACCATCTTAAATGTAAGAAGCCTATTAGGGTTAAAGTAAAGATACTTTAAGTGTTGGGGCACAGAAACTCAAAGCTCAGTGGACAAGGCAGAAATTCAGCAAATACGTGTACTGAATATCTAAAGGTCTATAGAAGTTGAACTACTTTTGAAAAGGTTAAAAAAAAAAAAAAGATAACTACAACTACAGGGTGTCCCAGAGGTCACTAACAAGAAAATATTAATAAACTTGGCTCGGCGCCTGTGGCTCAAGTGGCTAAGGCACCAGCCACATACACCTAAGGTGGCAGGTTCAAATCCAGCCTGGACCCGCCAAACAACGATGGCTGCAACCAAAAAATAGCCGGGCGTTGTGGCGCGTGCCTGTGGTCCCAGATACTTGGGAGGCTGAGGCAGGAGACTCGCTTGAGCCCAGGAGTTGGAGGTTGCTGTGAGCTGTGAAGCCACGGCACTCTACCCAGGGGGATAGCTTGAGGCTCTGTCTTAAAAAAATAAAATATATTAATAAACTCATATTTTATGTTTTGTTTTAATTTTTTACATTTACATATCAACATGTAGAGAAATTTATTTATCTGTTTATTTATTTATTTATTTTTGTTAATCAAGCCCAGGTGAGGTTTACTACCCCTGGTGTGCATAGAGAAATATTTTGTAAAATTTTGTAATGGATATTTTATAAATAAAAGTACATTTAGCGACAGTTTCCCTTTTTCCCTATTATGTATGGTGACCTTTGGGACACCCTGTAGATTAATGTCATGTATCCAGATCTTTTTCAGGGTTTCAAGATTGGTTTTGTACTTTGTAGTATGTGGACTTTGCAGGTTGTGCTAAAGCACAACAGTGCACTGTCTACCTCCTCTTATAGGAAAGTATCTATTCTAATTTGTCTCCATGGAGTGGACTCAGATAATAGTACTGTGGTGAAATTCTTGTCAAAATAATTGAATTCTTAGGATGCTTTTATAGTTCTTCATAAGTACAGTATAAAGTTCTAACTTCTTGCTCTCTTTCAATGCCCCACATATTCTGGACCCATTCTACCAATTCAGCAAGTACCCACCATTCCAAATGGACACAACTCCTCACCCCCCATGGTATGCAGTGCTCATTCTTCTCTTTTTTCCCAGCTCCTATCTTCCCTCTGCCTTGATTTTTTTTTCCTAACTATTTGCTTTAATGCCCAGAGATGAATTCTAGTCCTTTGAATTCTCTTAACTTTCCTGTAGCATGAACTGATAGTTTCTTTCCCTAAATTCCATAGCCTGTATGATATGTACTGCTTATTTTAATATTCAACATCATACATTGCTTTGAGGTATTATCCAGTGTATACTTGTTTTCTTTTGAAGTGTAAGCTTTTTGAAGGCAAAGGACCCTGTTTTTAATTCCTTTGTATCTTGTGTGCTAGCATGCTGTTGAACAGAGAGTAGATACTTAGGGGATTATTTTCCTTTTAACTGTTTTAATGAATTGTTTTCATTGTATCTATAATGATGGATAATTTTTTTTCTTTAGGCTTTCCAAGATCTTCCAAACACATTGGATGAAATTGATGCTTTACTCACTGAAGAAAGATCAAGAGCTTCCTGCTTCACAGGACTGAATCCTACAGTATGCCTCTTTCTCTTTCCCCATTCTGCAAGCACCACCACTGGTACCCTCCCTAAAAATGCATGCACGCGTGCGGGTGTGTGCACATGCGCTCACTCTCTCTCTCTCTCTCTCTCTCTCACACACACACACACACACACACACACACACACTTCCCTCCAGTACTTGCCTCCCACTCTGTACTAGAGCTCTTGGTAATAATAAGCTAGACAGCAGGAACAATGTGCTTTAAATGCCAGATTCTGAATCTATTAGAATTTTAAATAGATTCTTCCTAAGGAACACAGTGTTCTGTGCCTTTTCTTTATAAAAAGAATAGTTGGGTTAACCTGAAATACTGCAGTGACTATTTTTCAAGGATACAAAATGTCATTTTCAGTATGTAATGACATAAATTAATTGCGTACAAACAATGCAGCATAGTTGGCATTTTCAGTTATTGTTTTAATTGATGCAAATTTAATATTTTATCCTTTGGTAAATTTATCTTAAATATTTTTTCCCTGCCAGGTTGTTGTGGAATATACAAAAAGAGAAGAAGAAATAGAGCAGTTAACTGAGGAACTGAAGGGAAAGAGAGTTGAACTAGACAAATACAGGGAAAACATTTCGCAGGTAATTTTTAAAGTTTTAATCTTTTCTTTTTACCATGTGTTAATCATTAATGAATTGGGAACATAGAATAATGCAAATTGGGATGGCATACTCCTGAGAGAAGTTCTTAAAACCAGATTGCTATTGATATAAAATTTGTTTTATGTAAAGTTTTATGTCATAATAATGTTGCTTTTAAATTGTGTTTTTTATTGTCTTTATTTGTAGGTAAAAGAAAGGTGGCTTAATCCTTTAAAAGAGCTAGTAGAAAAAATTAATGAAAAATTCAGCAACTTTTTTAGTTCCATGCAGTGTGCTGGTGAAGTTGATCTCCATACAGAAAATGAGGTAAAATTGCATTTGAAATATATTTCTATAAAAGTAATTTTAATTATGTGTTATAAGTACATGTAAGCTATTTATTAACTATGGAGTCATACCTGTGAGAATTTTGTTCACTGAAATATTTTCTAAAGGAAGGAAAAGACAACCTGTGGGATTTATCAGGGTCACTTTTATTTTCATTTTCAAATTTCAAAAAATTATTTTTTAAAATTTTTTCTTTTTGGCTTTAACTTACCAATTTATTTTTCCATTTCAAAATATTAATTAAAAGGAGGTAGAAGTGTTTTGTTACATAGATCACTTGTATAATGCTTAAGCAGGGCCTTTCATGTGCCTATCACCAGAATAGTGTTCAGTGTACTCAGTTGGTAAGTTTTTATCTCACACATCCCCACTGTCCCCTCTTCTTGATTTCTTACGTCCTTTATATCACTTTGTGCCTGTGTTTACCCATCTATTAGCTCCTACTTATTAGTGATAACACATGATATTTGGTTTTCCATTCCTGAGATGCTTCCTTTAGGATAGTGGTCTCCATCCAGTTCCATATAAGTTGCTGCAAATGACATTATTTCATTTCTTTTTATGGCTTAGTAGTACTTTATGATTGTGTGTTTGTATAAGGTCAGTCATTTAAGTTTGTGAACTCATGCTGGAGGAACTGCTACATACCTTGTTGCTGAATATCACTGTGGTCACCTTCAAAGTACTCCCCTTGGGAAGCTATGCACTGACACCAGCACCTAGTCCACCCTTCAGAGCAGTTTTGCAACTCTTTCTGGAATGACCAGACTATTCAGTACTATTATACAAGGTCTGACGAGTTTGTGAACTTGTCCTAGAAAAAGTGCTGTGAAGGGTATGCTGGTGCTGGTGTTGGCACATAGCTTCCAAGGGGAGTACTTTGAAGGTGACCATAATGATAATCAATAATGAAGTGTGTAGCACTTCTTCTAGGATGAGTTTGTGAACTTATTCAACTTCATGTGTGTCCATACACATACATACCACATTTTCTTTATCCACTTGTGAATTGATGGGTACTTACTGACTTGATTCCACGTCTTTGTGAATTCAACTGAGATAAACATTCAAGTGCAGGTGTCTTCTTGATAGAGTTCGTTTCCTTTGGGTAAATACCAAGTGGTGTCATGGCTGGATCAAATGGTAGGTCTTCATTTATTTCCTTGAGGAATCTTCATAGTATTTTCCAAAGAGGTTGTACAAAATTGTGATCCCACCAACAGTATATAAGCATTCCTTTCTCTCTACGTTGACATAAGCATCTCTTGTTTTTTGACTTTGTAATAATGACCATTCTGACATGGAAAAGGTAGTATCTCATTGTAGTTTTAATTTGTATTTCCGTGATGATTAGTGTTGTTGAGCATTTTGTCATATGTTGGCCATTTGGCTATATCTTACAAAAAACTTTTGTTCATGACTTTTGCCCACTTTTTGATGGGTTTGATTGTTTTTTTCTTTCTGATTTGTGAGTTCCTTATATATTCTGGATATTTATCCCTTGTCAAATGTATAGTTTGTGAATATTTTCTCCCATACTCTAGGTTTTCTATTTACTCTGTTGATTAATTCTTTTGTCATGCAGAAGGTTTTTAATTTACTTAAATCCTGTTTATTTATTTTTGCTGTTGCTATATTTGCCTTTGTGGGCTTAGACATAAATTCTTTGGCTAAGATAAAAGATATTTAGTCTTTTCCTACAGTTTATTGTAGAATTTTTATGGTTTCAAGTTTTTAATTCATCTTGAATTAATTTTTGTATATGGTGAGAGATAGGGGTCTTGTTTCCATTCTTCTGCATGAGCCTCTGTAATTTCCCCAGCAGTATTTATTTAATTGTGCTTCCTTTCTTCAGGGTATTTTGTTGTCTACTTTGTCAAAGAACATTTGGTTGTAGGTAGATAGTTTTATTTCTGGATTTAGAAAAATCTGTCTCTACTTTTATAACAGTACTATGCTGTTTGGTTACTATAGCCTTGTAGTGTAATTTGAAGTCAGATAATGTGGTGATGGCTCCAGATTTGTTCTTAAGATTGCTTTGTCTATTCAGACTTTTGGTTCTGAATGAAGCTTAGGATTATTTTTGTAGATCTTTGAAATATATGTTGGTATTTTGGTGGGGATTGTTGAATATGTAAATCACTTTAGGCAGTATGAACATTTTAATGATGTTGATTCTAGCAATCCATGAGCAGGGGATTTTTATCCATTTGTTTGTGTCATCTGTAATTTCTTTCATCAGTGTTTTCTGTTTCTCCTTCTAGAGATCTTTCATTTCCTTGGTTAAGTATATATCTAGGTATTTTATTTTCTTTGTAGCTATTGTAAATAGTACTGAGTCATTGATTTGACTCTCTGCCTGTTATGTAAAAATGCTCCTGATTTGTGTACAATGATTTTGTAACCTGAGACTTTGCTGAATTAATGTAACACTTCCAGGAGTCTTTGGTAGAGTCCTGAGGGCTTTGTAGATGCAAGAGTATATGATCAACAAATAGGGATAATTTGACCTCCTGTTTCCCGATTTGGATGCCCTTGCTTGCTTTCTCTGGCTTGTTTGCTCTGGCTGTGTTGGATCGAAATAGTGACAGTGAGCACTCTTGTCTTATTCCAATTCTTAAGGGAAATGCTTTCAACTTTTCCTCATTCAGTATAATCTTGGTTGTGGGTTTATCATGTATGAGTTTTCTAATTTAAGGTTATGATTCTTTTATGCTGAGTTTGTTGAGGGTTTTTATCATGAACGGTGCTAGACATTATTGAAGGCTTTTTCTAATCTATTGAGGTGATTATATGGTCTTTCTTTTTACTTCTGTTTATAGAAATATGAGTCAAATTTGTTGATTTGCATATATTAAACCATCCTTGCATTCCTGGGATAAAGTGGGGTTTATGGAAATGTAAGTCACATTTATTGATTTGCATATGTTAAACCATCCTTGCATTCCTGGGATAAACCCCACTTGATTCTTATTTATGGAAATGTGAGTCACATTTATTGATTTGCATATGTTAAACCATCCTTGCATTCCTGGGATAAACCCCACTTGATTGATGGTGAGTTATCTTTTTGGCATGCCTTTGAATACACTTTGCTAGTATTTTGTTGGTAATTTTTGCATCTGTGATCATAATTGATACTGCTCTATAGATTTCTTTTTGTCTTCTGGGCTTTGGTATCAGGATGATACTGCTTCATAGACTAAGTTAGGGAGGATTCCTTCTCAGCGTTATAAAGTACATTTGAAGGATAGGTAGGTAAGAGTTCTTTTTATGAATTTGCTCTAGGGCTTTTTTTAGTTGAGAGATTTTTTTTTTACTACTGTTTCAGTCTTACTGTTCATTATTAGACTGTTCAGGATTTCTATTTCTCCCTGACTTAGGCTTGAGAGATTGTGTGTTTCCATGAATTTGTCCATTTCCTCTAGGTTTTCTAGCTTGTTTACATAGAGGTTTTCATAGTATTCGTGGATGATACTTTATATTTCTGTGTTACCATTTGTAATGTTTTCTTTATCATTTCTGATTAGGGTTACTTGAGTCCTTTCTCTTATATTTCTGTTTAATCTGGCTTGTGGTCTATTGGTTTTGTTTATGTTTTCAGAGAACCAATTTTTTGTTTGCTCCTTTGGGGTTTGTGGGAGATTGTTGTTATTTTGTTTCCATTTTGCTTAGTTCTGCTCTGAGCTTTATTATTTATTTTCTTCTACTGGTTTTGAGTTTGGGTTGTTCTTTTTCTGCTTCCTTGAGATATGACAGTAGGTTGTTAATTTGTGATCTTTCTGCCTTTTTGATGTAGGCATTTAAGACTGTGAACTTGCCCTTGGAGGCTGTTTTTCTCTGTATCTCATAGATTTTAAAAGCTAATATCCCTTTGGTCATTCAGTTCAAGGAATCTTTTGATTTCTATTTTAGTTTTGTCGGCTCAGTGCCTGAGGCTCAAGTGTCTGGGGTGCCAGCCACATACATCTAGGGTGGCGGGTTCGAATCCAACCCAGGCCCACCAAACAGCAATGACAGCTGCAGCCAAAAAATGGCCGGGTGTTGTGGCAGGCACCTGTGGTCCCAGCTGCTTAGGAG